TCCAGGTATTTGTGTCAGTGCTCTAGACACGACCTTAGAGGCGCCACCCATTGCCACGGTCAGTGTCACGGTCGCATCATACCATCTGGGTGTTTGCACTCCGCTGACCAGGGGGAATATTATTGAGATTGTCAAAGCTTTTGATAGGTGGTCTCTTCCCTGTTTACTTAAAGCTGCGTAATATTGACACACTCTGATTCAACAACGTTTGCACACTCTGAGAGAACACAGTTTTAATATATTACACATGAACAATGAACATGAACTGCATACTTTTGCTCTAAAATAAGAAACTCTTCTAATTACTAGGTGTCTGTAGTTTTACACATATAAATCGTGGGCTGCCGTCTTTATTCTAGGAGTCTAGAATGGTTAGATGCTAAATGCTAACATGCTCAGAGTGACGACGCTGATGTTTACCATCGTCGCCATCTTAGTTTAGTGCGTGTGTTAGCATGTTGACATCTGCTAAAGCAAAGTGCAGCTTACAATGATGGGAATGCCATTGGTTTTGAAGGTATTTGGTATTAAACCAAAGTATTTGAATAATTCATATTTTGACATGATGATGAAAGTTAATGATTCATTAAGGTTATCTCAGTCTGTTCGGGGGCAACATGAATGTCTGAACCAAATTTCATGGCAATCCGTCCGATTAGTTTTTAAGACATTTCACTGAAACCATCAACCAAGCCAGTAGGCTGTCATCTGGGGACCATGACTGTCTACAGAAGTTCATGGCAATCAAGCTATTTCAGTCTGAAGTGGTGGACCGACATTTCCATCACTTGAGCCACATTGTTAGCATGGCTGATAAAAACAATGCGTTTATTTAGAGCACAGGGAACACGTTGGTTTCCTCTTGTTTGTTGAACGGTGTTGTATGCAGCAGTGAAGTTATAATATAAACATTGCCACATCGGAGAACAGATCTGAGAAATACCACCGTTTCTCTTTCTTATCAGTAGCTAGTGAGTTCAATATTTCTGAATCGCCCCATGTTGAAACACCTGGCTCTTTTTTGTTTTGCAACGGTTCAGAGAGTCCCACTTTTCTCTGCCTGTTCCCTGTCGTGGTCAGACGGACCTTTTGGACTCTGAACAATGGCAGAGTGCACGTGGCTTCATGCCAAGAGGAAGGTGAATTGTGTGTCCCTGGCTGCAGAAAGTGGAAATGAGGCTGCATTGTCCTCCCAATACAGGAATCTTTTCTAAACATTTCAACTCCTTTTGATTTTAGTTTTTGATATTGTAAAAGTGCTTTAAGCAGGAAAACCCAGATTATTTCTCCTGTCCAATTATAATTTACCAGACCAAATGTAAATAATTTTACACATGAATGTGCTGATTGAAAAGTAAGCTTCTGTAACAACATTGCAATGTGCATAAATTCCTGAACAGCGTGTTCTCTCTCAACTCTTCTGCTCCCACAAGTTTCTGCAGCTTGTCTGTCGTTCTGTTTATGTTTCTTTTCACGTTCAAGATAAACTGCAAAATTGATTTCACCCACATGTGTACTTAAAAGATAAAACAGTCACTGATTCATTTACACCTCTAGACTCTAGCAATTGGAGACGTTACCGTCTTTGTTGTTAGGTAGTCAGATGGTTAGAGTTTGTATGAGAGGTTTTTCTCCTTTGTTTCAAATAACCTATATTGAGGTAACATTATAGGAACGGCAGATGTCCATATCCTTTGTAAATTGTAACAGAGTCAGTGGTTTATGAAAACACTGTAGCTGCAGGTGATTTTATTTGGGAATCCAAAAATACCGGCTCCCTCGTGGTATTGTATCCTCGTTGTATTGGCATGAAATCATGTTGGCTCTTACTGTAGTTACTCACTCCCACTCCTGACGTAGCATTTTCAATGCTGTGTATGCAGGAACAGAAGATCTGCCAGCGCTACGACCAGCTGATGGAAGCGTGGGAGAAGAAGGTGGACCGAATGGAGAACAACCCCAGACGCAAAGCCAAGGACGGCAGAACACGGGAGTACTACGAAAGGCAGTTCCCTGAGATCCGCAAGCAGAGAGAGCAGCAGGAGCGCTTCCAGAGGTAACGTGACTGGCAACTGTGTATATACTGTGTATGTACTGGTAACTGTGACTGGTGTTCACCTGTGACATTATACTGCATGTTGTGGTACAACATGCGTTTGGCTATGTTTGGTTCTTCAGAATTTCAGAGGTTCAGAAGCACACTACGTTACACTCTCCCTCCCCTATAGTGCATATTGGTTTACATTGGCATGAGTGAGCCGTGTCGTCATACAGGCTGAGGCTGCAACTAACTTTTTCATTATTAATTAATCTGATGATTATTTTCCCAATTGATTAATTCATTTTGTCTTTGAAATGTGAAAAAATTCAATTCTGTAAATCCTCAGAACAATTTCTGTGAGGCCATGTTTACATATTTCAACTGACCAATTTGATTGACTAGTTTTGTTGATATAACTTGAAAAATCAATCCTCGACATTTTTGCATCGGTTAACAGAGCAGTTGTTGCAACGCTCATGCAGACAAATAATTGGCTGGTGGAAGGAGATGAAGAGGTATTCCTCCGATATATTTTTACGGTTTCTATTTAATACTGTGAACAGAGGGGATTGACATCGGACAAAGTGGAAGCCTACAGTGAAATATGAGCTGTTGCTTGCATTTCATACAGGGGCGGCCCTTTTTGTTCGCACTAGATTGTTCACATCACCTCAAATTGCACAGAATGAAAAACCTCTTAGTTTAAACAGCGAGGGATCTAATTAATGTCGGGACGTGGTCATAGCTGGAGGGACTAGAGTGAAATTATAATCACTCAAAATCTTTTGATGCTTTGATAATGTTGACAAGACCTGTAGCGACACACCCGGACATTAAAATGGTCTCCTCCATCTTAACGATGTTTGTACAGCGATCATCTAAATACAGGACTACTTTGGGCGGAGACACTGGCTGTCTGGGTGCCTCTGGGAAGGGAGGGAGACGGGGTCCAGCGTCTGGTTGTTCCTACGCTTTTTACGAGATTTTAACAAAAGCACAAAGTGAAAATGTCAGTTCTGTCTCCTGTTGCTCATCTTAGCAATTTGACTCTGGTTTTGGTTGGAAAAGAAACAACTGTGAATAAGTCACGGATGCCTGGAAATTGTATTTCCTCTGAAAAGAATGAAACTGATATCGTCTTTGCACAGCATACACATTTTATGTGACACACCATGTGCCTGTTCTCCACAGGGTTGGACAAAGAGGAACGGGCCTTTCTGCAACAATTGCAAGAAGCGAGCACGAGATCTCTGAAATCATAGACGGGCTTTCTGAGCAGGAGGTAGGTTCAAAACTCTTAAAAAGAAGTTTCACAAATTGTGTTTTTTAAGAGGTAGAGAGCTCTTTAGCGTTTCACTCACTACATCCTCATGAATACATTTAATCTGCATGAGACACAAAGGCAGGAAGCAGATTTCCATAGGCAGAAAGATGGTTTACTGAACAAGGGAGACTGTTCCCTAGTGGAGTAACTGAGGCCACTGTCCATGTCCCACAGAACAACGAGAAACAGATGAGACAAATGTCCGTGATTCCTCCCATGATGTACGACACCGAGCAGAGGCGAGTGAAGTTCATCAACATGAACGGCCTGATGGACGACCCGATGAAGGTTTACAAAGCCCGGCAGTTCATGAATGTTTGGACCGAACACGAAAAGGAGATCTTTAAAGAGAAGTGAGTTGTTTTTGTTGTGTTGGCGGCACGAGAGTGTCTGTGCCACAGCTTGTCTCTGTAAGTCTGAAGTGCAGCTGTGATTTGTAGACCTTAATGCCACCTTGGATTTTCACTGATGTATTTTTTGGCTTCGGCACAAAAATAACCACTGGTATCTCTTTCCAGGTTTGTCCAACACCCCAAAAACTTTGGCCTGATTGCCTCCTACCTGGAGAGAAAGGTAAACTGATGCCAATGTGCCCATTTTTGGATTATATAGCAGGATATTGACATTTTTTCATCAGAAATGCAATATTATAAATAGTTGGGATTCATGAACGTAATGCTCTATTGACCCTTTTACAGCAGGGATCATCAAAAATATGCGTGCGGAGGTGGTGTTTTTTCCCCAGCCATCCCGACGAGTTAGCAAGGTTTACGTATCATTGAATTAAAAGTGTTACCGTCACCTATCGGACATGTTGACTACCAGCGGACTGATCAAAAATAATTGTGTTTTTAGCGCCCGTTTTGAAACTCCATAAACTCTGAGTCATGTCATTGGGATCGACTTTCGTACATGACCACAAATCACGTAGTTGGAAGCATCTAGTGACTTCAATTTCTTTTCTTTTTTCTCCACCAAATAAATGTATGTTATGTGACCATTAAGTATTGGGCCACTTGCTGATGTATTCTACTAGTATTCTGTCAGTAATACCACGCGTATCCAGAAAGTCAACAAAGGCTGCATTTGTGATCTTTGGGGATCAATACCCTTGCATACCTTGAAAACTACTTCTGTTGCCAAACTCTGTGTGCAACTGTAAAATGTTTGTGATCAGTATTTCATCATAAAAATAAACTTACTTTCGAAGTTGTAATTGTGTACTACATGCTGTAATGAGGCTTTTGGCAGTGATCTTTTATTTTAACACCTTGGTGGATCCAAACTGCTTATTCTGGTCTGTTGTGTACAAGATAGTGACGTATTTTTTTTCTTCTTCTTTTGTTCAAAATGATCATAGAAATATATTAAAAACGCTGCACTCTTTGGGTCAGTATAACCTTCCACCCATTGGTCTCACACATACATCAACTTTAAATTTGACATCTTGATGGTGGCAGACTTGGCCATGTTGCCTCCGGTTTCGGTGTCACGTTTTTAATAACATGCCGTTTCTTGTTTCAGTGCGTTGCTGACTGTGTCCTTTACTACTACTTGACCAAGAAGAACCACAACTACAAGACGCTGGTGAGGCGAAACTATGGAAGACGGAGAGGAAGGAACCAGGTAAACCTGAGACTTTATGAAATATCTGTTCCTGATAAATGGCCACAGATGAAATGACAGGGAGTCTACGACTCTGCCAGGGGACTATGGGTGTGATGGTTGCACCTGCTGAATAGCAGTATTGGGTTGGTCTGACTTTTAGCACACCTGTTTCATGCCTCCTCGTCAAGTCTCTGACTGTGCATTTAGTGTATGACAGATACATGTCTACCAAATATATCGCACATGTGCCACACCCCTTAAGGAGTTGTTTTCCTACATAGCTGGCTGGCACTATTCATGGGGCAGAGGGCGAGTGAAACAGGAAACACTCCCCTCCTGTTCTTGAATTCTAAGTAATCAACCCTTAGATTATTTTGTCAGTTCTCTCAAAAGATACATCAGCATTATCTGTAAAATATACAGTGTGTAAACTTCATCAAATATAGATTAATATATTATATTTAATTATATAGATAGGAATGTGTTTGCACATTCTGGAAAATGTGTTCAGGAAACTGACGCTGTGGCTGTCAGTAAATTATCGTTCGGCAAAGTTTTGTTTTGAGTCTGACAGTTGAACCAAGTCTTCCAACGTACATTTTGAGTTTGAGACGTCCTGAAACGGCCACGCTGTATAGAATATTAATTAGATACAAAGCTGATCATATTCTCCATCAAATATATAATTGCACACTGAAGCTTTTAAGAAGTCGCTGCTGTTTGTCTCTGTGTTTGACACTGACAAATATGAAGAAGCTGGATTGATTTTAAGAGCATCTGTCAGCATGCTATAGCTGTCTCTGCTGCACGGGGCTCCAGAAATATTTTTATTTTCCTTCTAAAGCCTTCGTGTGAAATTACTGTCAAACCTGGAATGTGAACTTTGTAGATGCCATGGTAAATTACAAAATGACTGCTGTGAACATTTGTTGTTGTGCACAGATTGTTGCTTCGGGCTTTATATAAATCTTCTCTTGCACCAAAATCCAGTAGAAAAAGATGCACCGTCTCACAAACCCTGTCTTGGCTGACATTAAATATTGATATCACTCACTCTGTTGGATGTTTTTTCGTCCTTGCTGGGCTTTTTACCCACTTCACTGATGCCACAAGCCTTGAAACAGGACATTCTGTCTCTTGTGTTGTCGAGCTCATGTGCTCTGTAATACCGTTGTGGACTGTCTTTTCATGGGAGGAGGTACCTCTGTGGCTTTTTTGGAGTGCGCTGTCTTTTCAAACGGTGGATCAATACGTGCTCTTTGTGCTTCCAGTGTTTGCTGTTCGTTAATGCAGAGTTTGTAAAGCGGTGTGGGTTTTGTCGTTCTTCGGAAGTTATACCATCATCATTCACTATCTCAGTGAGATCATCAGAAAAGGGATCGTTGGTCCAATACTCGTTTGACTTTTGAACACTGATGAATATGAGGATGTTGACTTTAACATAAAATCCAGTTCAGCATCTGTAGTGCTCCGCCTAACATGGATGTCACCGTTTTGTAGTCATTAAATTCGATATTGTTTTTTTACACGTGTTGCTGGATCGGAACACTAACGCATGATTTTTATGAGTTGTCACTTTAATTTAAAAGTGGCTCTAAGATGATCTCTATTAACAGCTTGAGATTCAGGTCAGTTGCTTAAATGGCTCCGATGTTATTTTCCCGCCAAACCATCTTGTGGTGGTTGAGAATGTAGTGAATGCAGTTGTTTTTTCGTCTTTGCAATAATACACATCAGGATGTAGTTGATTTCCGAGCTACTAGTGTGACTTAACAAATGCAGGGCGAGCGAGTCATTAGAGAGGGGAGGAAGGGGACGGCGCGAGCGAAAGCACGAGCAGTGGAATGTAGGGCGAGTGAAACTGAGAGAAAAAATCCTGAGCGAGACAGTGTCAGCGCTGGCAGTTTATCCGCTGTGTGTGTGCGTGCGCGTGTGCGCGCGCGCTATTGTTTTTTTTTTCGGCTTTCCATTTCCTCTTTATTCTGTTCCTCTGAGAGAGGGAGAGAGAGAGAGAGAGAGAGAGTCACCCCTCTCTGAAAGAGCGGAGTTGGTACAGTCCGGCCATCTGACAGGCCCAAAAACTCTCTGTGCTGCTGTGAGTGCCAATCAAAGAGGAGTGCTCGGCAGGGATTACCTTGAGTGACCCTGCATAGATTAGTGCGTGCATGTGAGATGGACAATTCTTTGGGCGGCTTAAACGGCCTGATGACACGCTTTCCCGGAATATGTGCGGCGGTGCCGTGGTCCGGCAGCCCTTCTAAGGAGCTCTGCTGTGGCGCTGTCCTGCCCCTCGACTGCTACCGTTACAACCGCTATGGAAGTACTGGAGGGTAAACTCACATTTACAACACCGGTAAACTGTGGCTCGCAGCACAGCAAAGGGGGTTTTATGACCAGCAAATGAGCTTGCAGGTATGTCTCTAGCTTTTAAACCACAGTGTTTGCTTTTTAGTCGATAGCGCACTCCGTTTGTTTTCTCCTGTTCCGTATCTTCTTGCTTTTTTCCCCCCGTGTTGTATTTTGTATTGCGCTGTTGCAGTTCGCTTCTTAGCCTACATATTTACTTGAGGCTGGTAGGTAGTCAAACTCCGCTATTTTAGGGTAATTTTTCTAGGACACGTGGAGACCAGGTTTTTATTTTTAACAGTTGAGCCAGAACTATGCAGGATACATGTGTGCACGTGTTTAAGCTATGGGGGAGGGACTTTTGAGTGGAGAAAATGTATCCGTTAGTTTTTAATATAGTTTATAGTGCATAGAGGCGTTAGACACGCTGGCAGCTTCAGAAAATTCCTTCAGAAAATGTGCTTCAAACTTGGAAGTATATGTCCCCCATGTCAGCTGAATCTAAATAACTGCACCTTTTGGTCGAAATTAATCCGCTGACTCTGTTTGTGAACACACACAAATGACAACAGTAAATTCACATTACATCCCCCACCACCACGTGATTGGTTATTTTCAAAAGTAGAAGTTGCACCATGAATAGCTGGTCACTTCTGAGGTTCTCTTATATTGCTCTGGTCTGACAAAAGAAATCCCTGAGAACTCGCAGGTTCATCCATTAAAAACAGTTTTTTTTCCAACAATTATTTGTTTCTTTGTGCAGCTTTAGTGTTACTACTGTTTATATGCAGGTCCATTTCTGACAGTGGTGGCCAAACTGTTTTGATTTTGAGCCATATACAGAAATAACTAAGAAGTCAGTGGCCAAACGATAGTAAATGTGTAGTTTTCAACCAGTTCAACTGCAAGAAAGTCAGTGTTCCTATACCAGTAAGCCCCATGTGCCTTAGAAATGAGTTTTCTAGCAAAGTAACTACACAACACTAATAAACAGTTTAACATTTGACATTGCAGTCAATTATTGGTGCCCACATATTACAAACAGTATTTCTGTATCTGTTGCCCTTAAATTTTATTTTTAATTAAAGTGCAAATGTGTAAATAAGTAAAGTTACAACAGACAGATATTGCCAAATACCCCTTATTTGTTTCTGTTCAATGCCTAAGTGCCCACTTAACGGTTTCAATGCAAATTTAAGCTATAAAGCTGATATTAACATGTAACAAACAGAACCGGCAGAAAAGATAATACTGGTTTCTGCGCCAACAGCTTAAGATCATTTCACAAAATTTAGTTGACATCTAGTGTTTGTACTAGGATGTGCAATGTACATACAGTGCAGGTTATCAGAAATATGTTCAAGCCATATGCTAATTTATTTTTAAAATTCACTGTGGGCCTTGTAGAAACAGGCAGTGGGCCGTAGTTTGGCCACCTCAGATTTAGGACAAGCTGCAGGTCAGTGATTATGTTATATGTAACTTAATGCTGTCACTTTTACGTTTATGTCAGTGACCTCCCAGGGCTTCACTGTGAAAACAAAAAGTGTTGTTATTCCAGTTTATTTGGCAGTTTACACAGCGTAATGTGGTAGTTGTCGTAAATCACTGGTTCACCACAGTGCCCTTTAAATCATATTTTAATGAAGTGGTTATCAGTTATCAGAATCGTCAATGTTTAAAAATGTTTTTTTAAATTAGACACATTGTCAAGGCAGGAATTACAGCTTTCATTGCAATGCTGCAAAAATACATCCAGTTTTACAACACTGATCCCTTCAATTTAATCTGATGTTCAACAAAAGCCTACAGGCCATGTTTAGTTGTTGAACTTGCTAAACCAACACATTCATCAGAAGAGCAAAAGTCCAGAGGATGTTTGTGGTAAAATGCCCGAATGCAAAATAAACAGAACATCAGCACTTATGAAGAAAGGTGTGAGAAATGTGCAGTTGTCAGTGCAACGTTTTAGTAGTTTTACTCAATTTAGCTGGTAGTGTTTTGAAACGTGAAATGTTTCATTTATGAAGATGTTACTGACATAATATTCCTGTTCTAGTTGGCAAAGTAACGTGTATAGAATACATTTTATTATTATTTTTTACATTATGGTCGGTATACTCCATATGGCATCACATATATAAGGTGGGCAACATATGTATTACTCTTTGGACATTTCTGTTCTTTTCTATGGGGGTCCAAAAAGGCACAATGTACCTTGAGAGCTGCTTTCTTTAAAGTGTATCAAGCAGTCGAGTAGATTTCTTTGGTTTGTAACACAGATGAGCAGTTTTTCCCTTGCAGAGCTCCCAGTAACCACGGTAACTGTGACAAATGCTTGGTATTTTTTACCTTTTATTTTAACCATACATTTTTCTAACCATGATCGCTCAAGAGTTCAATCAGCTGGACGGTGCATTTTACCCAAAATGAATGCGAGCCATATACTATGGGGTTAAATGCTGCTGTTAAAATGTATTTGTTTGCATTTATTTCTTGTTCTTTTCATTCCGTTACAAACACTGTTTTTTGTAGTTGTGTCAGATGAAGGCAATATCTGTAAAGAATTGCAATAATAGAGGTGATGCATAGTAATAACTCAGTAGATTTTAAATGTTCCATTCCTGCAGTGAAATAGCCTGAAGCCAGAGTGAGAGATTCCTCTGGTGGCCTAAGTTCTGTGGTAGGAAAGGGAAGCTTGACTTGTGGCTCCGTCATTTCCGAAATCAAACAGCACTCGTGAATCAGCAAAAGAGGGAAGAAATTAAAACTCTTAAAATATTCAAGCCAGGTCAGGAAAGGGCTTGATTTAAAAACAGTGAAGGAACCACAGAACCGCAGGGCCTCATTGACTTTTGGAGAACATCTGTGTAGAGGCTCTTTTTAAGCAGTGTGGGAGAAGAGGCAGGAATGCCTCGGCTCTCTGACCACCTCCCAAGCAAACACGAGCGCTCCCGGACCAACCAGAACGGTCTCACTGAAAGACATGTACAGGACAGGATAACTGATCTAAAACAGACCGGTCCGCCCTGCAAAAAATGTAAGTCTATGAAATGGTCGAGTGCCAAAAACAGGCTTTGCAGACTACTGCAGGCAGGAAATGAGTCAAGAGTTCAAGTCCCAGTCCAAGTTTGACATGGTCCTCTCTGCATACATCAACCTGCAATCTGAGCTCTGAGTCTCTAAAAGTCACTGTAAATACTCCCATGCTATTTTAGCATGCGATGTTCTAAATGTGGGTTAACACACTTTTGAATTACTGTAGAAAGCACCGTCATATCTAATAAGTCTGATCTGCATTAGAAAGTAGCTCGTAAGCAACAATCTTGACGAATGAAGAGCTAACAGCGATGACATCAACTAAGAATCTAATTTTCCAGTTTTGTCTCCAATCGGTTTAAAGCTCAAGAAGGAAAGGCTGTGAACTGAGCAGGACATGTGGGGTAAACCTGTGAGAGCATCGCATGCTGTTTGCTTTCCATTACTGAAGATTTGGTCTTGCTAGTCATGTAGCTCCATCCTAGCAGGCAAAACCCATGCGATTATTAGCAGTCTTTGGTTGGAGCTGGCTAGAATAGCCACTAAAAAAATAAATTAAAAACAACTTTATTTGAATCGTCACGCGCGTAGTATAGACATAACTCTGTAATTAACTCATCCTAAGCATTTAAGGATCAGTACTAAGCACTAAAGAGTGCTGATTCAAACCGTTTTTGTGGAATTGCCAAGCACTTCTTTGTCACACTTTACAGTACGACATGGCAGGCAGACTCCACGTGTGCAGAAGCACGTTGTCGTAAAGTAGACGGGCGGCCATTTTTTTTCTTTTTTTTTCTCAGTTGTACCCCAGTCTTCCCTCTCTTTGCCTCAGTCCATATCTTTTGTCTTTACCATTGAGCGGAGCACATTCCTTGGCCCCATCTGGTACCAGCATGGGATGTTTGGCTTGGCATAGCCAGACTTGTTCCAGCACAGCGCTTTCATGGAACAGGCAGGAGGAAGCATTCTGTGGTTAGCGCGCCAGCGCTGATGAAAAAGAATGTCGCTCTGTCCTCAATCTAAAATGTACTTTCGAATGATGTTTTCACTCAACGCTTGATGTACTTATCTGAACTCAACTCTCCAGCCGTTTTCATTTTAAATACTTAGACGATCCTCTTTTCTACTGTAGCAGTGTGGGATAACATTTGTAATGAGTGTTATGGTCAAGCCCTTTTCTCTCTTCGAGGGATTTACTGAGACTTCGGCCCCTTTTGGACCCGGCATTAACATGCGTCTTGGGTGATTGGATTACAAGTGGACGGGTTAGAATGCACCCACGACACCACGAGGACACTTTGAGATTTGATCGCACAGACCCCAGTGGTCACATTCTTTTAGCTCAAGCGTTTCCTGGTTAACATTGAAGGACCGCCTACTCAGCTGGTGTGTGTGTGTGTGTGTGTGTGTGTGTGTGTGTGTGTGTGTGTGTG